CTTTCTTCCAAAACTTTCTTTTTATGTGATACATATAAGTATTCGTGGCAAGATAGCTAACGACTTCAATTAAAGGTGGACATGAAATCACTTGATCGGAAAACAAAAATTTATCCCAATACACATTCGCTAACTGTAGGATTGAACTTAAGTTGGTGTTTTTTATTCTAAATTCTAAATTTCTTACAAGACTAACATTACATAAAAATAATTATTCATTATCAGTGAATTTCAAATTTCAAATGCATATTATGACATTCAATCATAGCACTTGATGCGATTTCGATTTCAACTAATCAGATTGCAAAAGAGGAACAGTTTACGACCAATCAAAAAATTATTGAAGGTGACAAAATTTTTGTTCATTTTCACTTCAGTACACTTTTGCAAAACAAGTAAACCAATCAAAGATACCTAAATTTTTCATTAGCACCCCACAATTTTTTTGAAATGTGTGGTAGGGAATCATATTTGCCGGGCACTCGATGTCAACCCCATACCTCTATATCTTCCTCAGTATAATCGAACCGTCCTGGATAAACGCCGAAGGCTTTCAGGCTTTAACCATTGTTATAAGACTCCTTCGACTGCCGGCTTGGATAGGTCCATGTTAGTTGCTTACTGGGATAAAACTACGGTCAAACTAATAGGTGATTTGGTGTTTCGCGGGAGAGCACTGTTGCTTGTGCAATAATTTTCTTAATTGTGAAGAAGGCCTTTATCGCGCTGTCCTTCAAATTGATGAGTTTCGCGTTTCCACGAATAACTAGAGCATCAATAGTGTATTCGATAAAATCTGGGGAATCACTTCCGATTTCACATTTCTGAATATCTACAGTGCTGTCGTGTCTTTGTAGTTGTATGAAAACAAGGTCAAAATGTTGAAGATGAGATTCTCAGACCAAGCTCTTGATCAGACAGTTATCTTCATGTACATAAGTGAGGTTGAGGCCTCGAAAGACATTACCGATCAGTCTCTGGAATGCTTTTGCAACATTTCCTATAACAAAACGCATGCGCAAACAATCGTATAGTCCAAATAGTGTAATGATGGCGGTTTAAGGAATATCGCGTAAATCCATGGGAAGTCGGTCATAAGCTCTAATCAGGCCGATTTTCAAGAAAACGGTTGTACCGTTTAAGGTGTCTGTCAGGTCGTTGACTTGTGACAAGACGTCCATATATCGAATGGATTTTCGAGAGACTATGCACAGTAAAGATGTCTGTAATCTGTCGAGTGGCTGAAAAATTCACAAGTTTATCATGTGTTCGAATTCATTTTGTCAACCTCGGCTTTTCTTTAGCCCGTTGACGCACTTTCGAAAATACAGGTGGTCCTGTAGTAATGATGTGGTGTGCAAAATTATGGGTCGCACACGGTAATTTTATTCACGTTTGGTACAGTTCGAGGTGTTCATCGAGTATCTGTTGATAGGATGTGTCAAAAATGTGCTTAACAATGACTGCGGATTTTCTGCAACGTCAATGCCGGCCGGTAAGAATATTCTCGAAAGGGCTTTCGTGATGGACGGTTGGAAGAATGAGAAAATAATGGGTTTTCTATAATTTCCGGAAGACGAACAGTTACCTCCTCGGTCTGTCCATCCAACAACATGCAGAAGATAGCTTGTCTCAATCTAGATTGAGTCCTTGACAAGATGGCTGACTTGTTTAAAATTGTGGCTAGTATTAGTGAGTTCGAAGTGAAACTAGCTGTCTGGGTTGAAGAGAAGAAAACAAATTTACCACTTGATTGGCGGACAAGTGCGCAGGAGAGAAGACGAGTTAACTGGAACACTACTCAATTTATTCCCAATCCCGAATCGCACTACGATCTTGTTCCAATTCAGCTAAGCGCAAAAAGATATATGAATGAATATATGAATAACAAGACACCAATAAACAAACAATCAGGAAACAATTGGTAAACTAGGGACAAAAGTAAATATTAGTGTTTTCAAAGCTTCGAAATAAATGAAATAACTATGATAATTAGGAGTATTTGAGTCATAATGTAAAGTAAGAGTCCTAGAAATAATGAAATCGGATCAAGAAGTACTAGATAAGCACAGACGAATGTAATGTATTTGGAATTAAAAATCAAGCGTTCAACAAGTAAGAAGGAATGATTAGTTCATTCAAACACCACAATAACGTCTACAAAAGTGGCCTTCGTCTTTGTCAGGGCTTCTTGTTTCTCTGTTCACATCACTTACCATTCTTATTTTGGTACAACTAACAGTCAGAATTATCTGTTTCATGTGGTCTTGAGACAGACCTTTATCCTGACAAGCTTCTTTGAGGCGTTTGAGAGAGTCTACGCTTGCGATGAACATCAAGATAACGAGCGAGAACACGACAGATGTCCGTATCTTCATGTTGTGGTGTTTGATGCTTTTACTGAAAGAATAAACCTCAGAGTTGGGGTTCTGATGATCTCTAGCATTCAATCGGCAGATGCAGCCAGTTTGTCACAGTGTTGTTTCGAAATGAGACAAGGACTAACTGGGCGTTTTGGGGAGGATTAAACAAGAAGAGCTGCTCGAACAGGCTCTTGCCGAAGGTCCGTTGACCAATGACCTCTCCCATATAAAGCAACATTTCTGTTGCTGAGCCATGTTGCAGGTCCATGTTATGAAAGAGTTGGTCTAACGTTTGTCGGTCGGTCCGGTCTCAACGTTTAAGTTTGGCTTTCTTCAGAATGCTGTAGGGTTCCAAAGCATCACTAGCGCACATACTAGATGTGACGTACCCGTTGAGATCATGTGATAATGCCTTCATCACTGCGAGGAATTGTGCACATTCCCGTGGAAGCTGGCCTCTGCGTAGCACAATCAGGATTCTATATATTTTCGGGTCAGAGTAGCATTAGTTGAAAGGTGAAATTCGAAAGAGCCTTAATCTTAGATAGCTGACGTGTCTGCTTTCTCATGAAAAGATAAGATATACCAATGAACAAGAAAATGATGTCCGGAAATATAAAATTCATCACAATATGTGAAACTAAAAATTAGAAATATAATATATAATGTTCAAAAACGAACAGACACTCAGTTTATTGTTTGGTGTACCAGATCACTTCAGTTTGCTTTGATGGTTACCTTGAAGAAGTCCAGAAAGGCTGGCTGAACAAAATGTTGGAATTATATGAATTTCAATCTCTGAGATTATTTCAAATATGATTTTCGCCTAACATTCGTACAAATGTTGTTCATTAAGATTTCAGAGGAAAAAACCAGTTTGTCAAACTGCATCACTTTATTTATTATTCAACAATGAAATAAAAATTGATGATAACAAGCTGAGAAATAGTTAGTTCATGTTATTTTTCATTATTCTTGTGAATAGTTTCATTGTTTACATCTGGTGTTTGTTCCATCGTCGTATGGTCTTCCTTTACTAGCCCTAAAAGTATCACAAACAATAACCAATCATTTGGAACTACGGCAGATGGAAAAAACTTTTAATAAATTGTAGTTGAGTCAATTATTTTGAATGCAGTTAGCTACAATAAATAATTTTGGTTATGTATAAGTTTGAGCCATTAGAAAAATCAACGTGACTACTAAAACAAAATGGAAACGTAGAAATAAGTGTGCTCAAACAAACAATAATTTACATTGTTCCTATTGCTTATTGACATCATTCGAATCGTGGTTTTGTGGTCTAGGTACTTAAAGTCTTAGTATCGATTTCGTGTGGAATCAATGAAGGACACCTCTGGTAATTAAAAGTGATGACGAAACAGTTATCTAATGCTCCCTACTGCCCAAAGATTTTCAAGCTGATCTCAGTCAATGATAGTGACTGGTTACAAATACAACAACATCAGCAGATTCTGTAGCAACACAGCATAAGGAGATAGTCTGTGATATTCGAAAACAGGTATATAATAAAATAAGAGGTGTCAAAACTTTACTCGAAAGTTATTCTCATTCCAATTTACTGTAATTTCCTCTGTAACATCTCTAACCAATGAACATAGCTTCAGCCTTTGACTCAATGTGTAATCTTACTCACTGTTTTGATCAATTATTCAATGCTTGTTGATGAAATATTTGCAAAGATGAATGATTGTCATTTTAATTATGTTTTCAGATTGTCGCATTGTAATGTAAGACTGAAGTATCAAAAATATAGGCGGGTATTTTGAATAAATGGACACTTTATTATGAAATTATGAAATGAGCACGCCTAGACTCAAAGTTAATTTCCCTAACTACAATTGAAAAATAGGAAGATTTGAAGTTATATTAAAAATAACGCACTCCTTGCACGCCGTGGTGGAAATACTGCCTAACAAACAGGCCTGAATGCAAGAATTATCAAAAAGCTGGGATGTACTAAAAAGTTATTTTGTTATAGTTTGTAACAATTTATCAATTCACATTCACGACTTCATACGAAGTGGAATACAGAACTGCGAATTCTTATGGCCTACATGATAAGCATTAAACTATTGTACTCGTCCTTATCTTATAACTTCAATCAATTTGTATTACGTTGTGACGGTCAAGGAATGTTCATGTAAAAGCCGATAAATGGTCAAAAACAAATAGAAAAGTGTGATGACTTCTCTGACTATGGTGGTTAGAAAACAACTATACAAGTGTTAATTATGTTCCACATTAAGGTGAAGAATACGTTAAATACAGGCGAGTAGATGTGTGATTAACCAACATATGGATAAACATAGACATGTATACACACTTATCTAGATCTAAAAAGCCTTCAGTGTTAAATAACATGGCAGCACTTGAGAAGGATAAATATGAGTGCACAGAATAAATTCATTTGGCGATTATAAGGACTCGATTCAGATTTTATATTCATATATAGTACATTTAAATACACTGTAAAATACAATGCTTACGCTGGAGCATAATTGCAAACAACTATATATTTTCCTTTATTTATGTTTTTATTGCACATGTGAACTCCACATCCAATATGTGTTGTGTTAATGTTTACAATCTATAATTGAAAATAACTAGTTCTTTTTACAAATATAAACTAACTTGTTTATACATAGAACAATCGTAATTCTCTCCGCATTTATCATTTTTAAAACTATAAAATCGACTTCCATCTCGCCAAACATTGATAGCACTTGAGGAAATTCGAAGAAAAAGCGCAAAATAAGTGGTAACGTATTACTGAATAAATCTTACTATGAAACTGAATGAACTTGAGCAATATTCTGACCGACTGATTTCCATCTACACGTAGTTCTGTCATTTAAACGGCTAGGTGAGTTTTCACACTGTTCTGCATACTGTTGAGCAGTTACCTGTAATCCATCATCCCATGTCTACAAACAAATATTCACTGAGATAATTCTATGAATAAAAGGATGTTCACAATTTATATAAGGGATAGTTGTGGTTTGACAATTACGGAAAACTAGAATGATATCGGTATATGTTCCTCTAAATTATGGTGTTCCTGAATGAAGTGTATTCATGGCACAATAGGATGTCAAACCCAGAACTTTGTGGTCTTACGGTATGCATTTCATTTCCAGACCACAGAACTGGTATCCGTTGATATGAACATGTGACTTCAATGAAATGACAATGTTTAGCAACCATAATCAAATATCTTAGGTTGGTAATTGCTTCGCGCTCAATGTGGTTTAACTCCACTGGTCATGGCTTTTAACCAGAACTCCGGAAATTACCTGCGGAAATGTCAAGGGATCGTTATGGAAACTGTAGGTCTTAAGTCCGATCTCTGTAGGAGTGATGAGTTGACAACACTGAGTAATACCATACTAGGACGAAACAGCTGCCCAGTACTTCTTGATTTTCGATTATTGTCTAACGACATTCAATTAAACATTACCCATCAACACTCGTTAGAATGAAGAAATATTTAAATGAGGTGAACTTCAGAGTGCACGTGATCCCTTCTTAATACGTTATAATATTATAACATGGTCAGATGAGCTCACAAGATTTCCAAGTTTTGTCTCAGATGGTGTACTCCAATAATAATCACATTGATTTCTCGTTTGTCTAACGTAATTATGGTGATGTAACAAAGTCCTTGCAAATTCTGCCATTTCCTCTTGGCCTCCAAGACCGGATGAGATAGAAAGTAACAATATTAACAGAAACAGAATCATTGTGTACAACGCGTGACTAAGATCTATTTTTAGGTGATCTTCCGTATTTATAGTGGAGGAAAACTATAAAAACGAGCAGAAACGCAAGTCAATTAACACTGCGACAGGTTTAAGTAAAAATAATTCACTAACTTATTGTGAATGACAGACACCATTCTTCACATAACGACGTTGGTTCCTTTGAGAAAATATTTAAATTCCAAAAAGAAGAAGGCAAAATACATACCAACCGGTTTAAAAATTCACTGAGAAATGTTTTATAAGCATTTGCGAACACAATATTCGAGGTTTAATACTTTGTATGAAGTTTAAATGAAAATGTCAATCAATCGAAATCAACATATTAGATGTGGCAAACGTGCTTCGTCCTGAGCCACTTATAACAAAAGACATTAAAATACGGTACGCAAATGCATTGATTTGCAATAAACAATAATGACATTTGAAACGAGGAACCATATATGGAAATACTGAATAAAAGTATAAAACGGAAGTGAGAAGAAAGGAGAGTACACGATAAAACAAAGGTATAAATATGACTGCGTCTTCGACTAAAACCAGATACCAGAGAATGACGCTCACACTACTACTTGCCATTTGCTTCGTGGAAGCTGTCTTCGGATTGGACGCACAGGAGGCGCAGCTCATGCTGCAAGTACACAATGAACATCGAGAATACCGAAGCAAGTGTGGGGAAACGGACATAGTGCCAGCGGAGGAATTATTACAGCCTCTTGTAAGTTTGAGATGATGTGAAAGCCTTGCGCGTCGGACTTGAATCTGAGCGCGATCCCTGACATTGTTCACGAATACACGATAATTATTTTTCTATGATTTTTATTCTTGTATGAGGAGTGGGACGATGAACTGGCGGCTGCCGCTCAAATGTGGTCCGACAACTGTGATGTTCACGACAAGAAACCGACCAGAAAAGTTGGTTTATTTGACTCCGTGGGTCAAAACATCGCTGTTCAATCCGAGTTGGCAGGGTAGGTTTCCCGATTGTAAGATTGCTTTGATTGTGCTTATTGTAGAGCTGTTACTTATTGGATGAAAGAATCGGACCACTATGATCACAAATCAGACCACTGTGAGCCACCGCATCAATGTGACAGTTACAAGCAGGTATGTGAATACACAAATTGTGTGACTGAACGAACTGTCAAACTTCATAATCAATCACTGAACGAAGTTTCATCACTTAATTTCTCTCAAATGCATCTAGATAGTTCAATCTGACACGGCCTACGTAGGATGTGGCTATAACAAATGTAGCGGCTTTGTAAATCCAGATGAAATGTTGATTACCTGTTTCTACACACCTGCGTAAGTCTTCATAATTTCCATCCGTCAATGCACAAAGTGTTCCACCACATACTTAAGCATAATCACGATTTTATGATTTGTTTTACATTGAGATTCAGTGGTTTCAAAGCATTCCGATGATGTGTTTTTATCAGTGTGCTTCAGTGTGATTCACTTCATGTTTGTATTCAATTTGTTCCCTAAATGTACCACGTATTTCATATGTGGATATTCGACACTCTTCTCGCTTTAGCACAGGACCCTGTCTCGCATCCAGAAACATTATTGTGAGTAGAATGTGTGTGCATATGAACGACGGCCAGCCACAACATTTCTCAGTTCCTATTGTTTCTATTTCAGGGTGAGAAGTGGTCAACCGTACACTGACGGAACAAACGGAAGATGCAAAAATCCGAATAAGGTGGAGGGGACGAGGAAGTAGAAGGAGGAATTGGAAGAGAAGTGAAGCATCAGATCAGTTGTTTTGTTATGTTTATTGACAATGAAATCAGTGCTAATGAGTTCAAATAAATGATGCTGCATATTGTTTCATTTTGCACAGTCTTGAACATCCAAAAAAGTGACTACAGTGGCATGTGATTGCAGTTGTAGACTGTGTACTTGTAGTTTATTAAGTGTTGATAGAAAACCACACGAATACAGTATTGTGGAGTTAAGCACGTCAACTAAACCTCATTATGATCTACAATGGTACTTAACATGGAGATCACAACATATCATTGTCGAATAAAAATCAATTTTTTACTTGGGAAACCACCATTTCAAATATACCATAAATTCACCAACACTTACAACCGGTTCCTCGTCGTAAATATGGCACTTCTCAGACCAGTGTTGAGCGGCCGCCGCCAATTCATCGTCCCACTCCTTATACAAGCATAAAAACCATAGAAAGATAATTATCGTGTATTCGTGAACAATGTCAGGAAACGCGCTCAGATTCAAGTCCGAAGCGCACGGCTTTCACATCATCTCAAACTTACAAGCATGATGATCTTAAGGAAGAACTAAAGACACTATCACCCCTTAAACTACTATTGTCAAAGGATGTAGTTCCTGCGGAACTTGAAGACATTATAAAGGCAGAATCTGTCATCGACTTCATCTCCATCGAAGTTTTTAACCCAATAATCTCTCGCAATAACGTGATTATCTATCGCCATTAAATCTGTAGGGCATTCGATATTAAAAGCATTTAACCTCCAAGATAGTCCATGCTAATGTATCCGACTTAGCAGAGGGCACCAGAAATACTTGTGCCCGGTTTTGTTCAGATTGGATTCTCATTTATTAGCTGAAGCGTTGAAAGAATCCGAACGGCTAATCTGCGCGCTTACGGAGCTTAGAACCGCTCGAATAGTCTCAGATAAGACCACCAACCAAAGAATTACGCAAAAGCGTACCTTAAACGAAAATAACGATGTTGAGATCATAACAAATCCCGATGATTCAGCAGCTGGACCCACTGATGCAGCTAACCTATCTCAGGTTATCCAGTGCTCTGATTTACCAATGAAGAGTGCTAATTTGCCTCTAATGTCTGTAGTGACCTCTGATAACCAATGTATATCTAATGACAACACTGATCCGATATTTTCCAGTTTAACATTAAAAGCCCATAAACAAATACCTAGTTCTAATGTAACAGCTCTTAAAAGCACTGTCAAGATTAAAAAGTCTTTGATACGTAGGAAGTATGTGTGTACAGAACCTTCTGGTTCTGTACTCAATAACAAATATATTACGATGACTCTACCAAATAAAAACAAAAATATATTTCACGACACCCTACTTTACCATACTCATCTCAGGGGAGGTTATGAGAACACACTTCATCCAAACGTTACACAAGACGGCCACTTCCATCAATGTTTAAGCAGACCTAATATTAGATAGGCCACAGTGAACCAACGTTCCCCACGGTTACCCTCAAACGTTTTAAATAATCAACCTGTAAGACGTAATTTTTTCCAACAATTTCCCTTTGGACAAGATGGACTACTAGGTTACGCACCATCAACCCAACCCCAACTAGCAGGTGCTTGTCTTAACTGTCCGCCTGGTCAAGTTCAACAAATTAATCCACTTTATCAAAGTAATGATTTTTCTGGCCCACAGAAATCCTTGATCTTAATAGCGCTACAGTTTGCTCAAGCGATAGCCCATATGATCAGTCAAACATAACAAACCACAGTCTATGCAAATCTAAACTACACAACATCAATAGGGAAGCTCTTGGTTTTTTCACACTCCATACCTCCTTTTTAAACTTATTGCTTATCAATGCACGTTCACTTCTGAACAAAATTTCAGCCTTGAGGACATTATCTTTTCTAACCAAGCCTTCTTTCATACTTATCAGTGAAACATGGTGCTCTCAAGCGGTATCTGATGCAGAATTAAATATCCAGAACTATCGACTCTATCGCTGTGACGGAGAAACTAAGCGAGGAGGTGGGTGTGTTATGGATGCTTCGGGTACCCTAACAAATAATAAATTTGAAGATGGTGTCCTGAATAGTTTACCAGAATCAGTCTGGATATCAGTCAGCACCCTGAATCATAGTCTACTCGTTGGATGTATTTACAGAGCTCCTGATAGTTCGAATAATGAGAATGATCTTATTATCAATGCGTTCACACATGTATCTGCTCTAAACTTTAATGCTAAGGTTATCACTGGGGATTTCAATTATCCTGGGATTAACTGGAATACCGGTAGTCGTCCGTCATGTAATGATGAGTTCTCGGCAACCATTACCATGCGCTACTGTTCACAGTGGGTTCTTACGCCAACAAGGGGTGATAGTATACTCGACCTAGTATTTAGTAGATATGTTATCCCACTATCTGTAAAAGTACACGATGAATTTGAAAGCAGTGACCATAAGATAGTAGTTTGCGCTCTCCCTATCTATCCCCCTTATAATCGACCCATTCAAAAAACCTGCCAATATAGAGACTATAAACATGCTGACTGGGACCTCCTACACTCCCTGATTAAACTTTCAGACTGGGATAACTTTCTTTCATGTAATAGTCTCATGGATGCTATGGACGAATTCTATCTGATCGTTAACTCTTGGCTAGATTCCTGTGTACCTCTTAAAACGTATAGGTTTAGTAAACCTTACGAGTCATATATACCAGCTAAATATCGTAATAAACTAAGACGCCTACAGAATCGTTATTTCAAGTCAAACGACTTCACGGTGGTTGCACAAATAACAATAATTTTCAATCAAATTAAGGAGAAACACAGGTTAAAAGTCATTGATGAGGAGAAACTAGCACTTAATTGTGGCTCGAAAGTGCATAACCTAATTCTCTCTTTCAATAAACGCGCTAAAGCAACTCAAAATGTTGAAATACCATGCGTCCTGCATAATAGCACCTTTATATACGACTCTAAAACTATAGCAGACCTTTTCAGTGGTATTTTTGCGAATGGTGTAGGAATCGTAAGTGGCTCTGCTTCAAGAGTTATGTGCGTGACTAGCAACTCAAAAAGATCCATCTCCTTCAAATGCATGAAAATTAATAAGGCTATATATACCCTCGAGCTTTCGAAAGATCATGGAGCAGACGGGATTTTGTCCTTTCTCTACAGGTATAGTGGTCCAGAAATTCCACCTCCTTTTCGAAAGCTGTTTGTTCTCTCTGTGGAATCAGGC